CAAGAAACATGCTCTATTTTGTGTGTTTAGTTCAGTGTTTTCGATTCTCATTTTATATCCATTCCTTTCATTTTTCTCAAGTTGTGTTAGCTCTATAACTATCCTAGAATCCTTGTTAACACAACTTTAGATAGAATTAAATTCTTATTGATTCTTTCATTATCCTTTATACCCATATATCATTGGCTCTATTGATATAAACCTCACCTATCTTTTGTCAGAATATTTAATACAAAGAACCATTACTTTTCTTGTCGTGAAAGCAAAACTCTACCAGAAAGCACTAAGTCATTGTCTCTTTTATGGAGAAAGCAAGAAGGAGAAAAAACAAAGTGTCTAATGGATCATTTATGAAGATCAACCATAAATGTATTTATGAAGACAGTGCAACTAATGAAAGCTGGGTTATTACATGATCTTATTCATTTATTAGTTCACCTACTTTTTTCTATAATATTCATTATGCAGCTTCATTAATTGTAAATAATTTCTTAGAGAGAGTATTTGATAGTAGTAGTTCATTCTTAAATTTATTCTATTTATCCTTATTTTACATACTCAAAATAGAGGATCTTAAGCTCATGAAGCCTAATGAGAATTAATCATTATCTTTGTAAGAAGTAGTGATTCAGACTTGAGTAAAAGTATGTGATTGTACTGTGGCCATCAAGAGACTGACTTAATCTTAGTAGAGTAAGTGGAGAAATTCCAAATGCTACTTGAGAACTTGATATAGGTTCAAGTGATTGGAGCCAAATCAAAATAATCAATTTGAGCAAATTTCTCTTCTTTACTCTCTTCTGTATTTGGTGATATCATTCTTTTTTATCTTTTAATTTTTCATTATTAGTTAAATTAGGCTCAATTTATCATTCTCTTGGGCGAACTTTCATGTGTAACATTTGGTAGATAAAAATATACTTTCCAGAAACGAAATGAGAAGTATCTATCTCACTGGATGTTCAGACATTTAGTAGGGTCAGTAACGTGACTAATTCATAGAAAGTGGTAACAGACTGCATTAAAAGAGAAGGCATTAAGCATGCACTTTTATTAACTTCTATATATATATATATAAAGATCTAAATGCTTCCGGTCACTTACTTATAAAGTGGTAATGGGCTGCTCTTTTAACACAAAGGGCTGATAGTAGTTCTGTTCCTTCAACGTAAACATCTTGCATTGAAAAACCCAGTACCGGTCCTTTTTTTTTTTTTTTTTACCAAGTTTCCAAATAAAACATAGCATAACATGTCAAATAATATATGTGAAAATAATATTAGTACTTTTTTTAAACATAAAAAGCATTTTCATTTATTTTAATATCATCAATTATTTTAAAAATTGAATTAGAAAATAAAATGGATTTCTTTAAACAAAAACTGTTTTATTTTACTTATAAATTGACAACTAAAAATATCTATTTTATTCTATATTATTAATTAATAATAATGGAAAATATTAATTTTTATTATTTATAATAATTAAAATACTATTTTATTGCTTTTTTTTATATAAGTATAAAAAATATATTTTGCTGATATCTTCCTTAGAGTACTGAAAACAATGAATAAATTTTTTTAACTAAATTTCTATATTTATCAAAGTTAGGATTCAAACCTTCAATAACTTATTTAAATGACGAAACCTTATACCATTTTTGCCAATTTTAATTGGTTCATTGTTTTGATGCAAAGGATATTATAGTCATTTGTTCCCCTTTTTTCCCATTATTTTTTCATTTTTATTCAACCAAACAAATTTATTTGTCCTCTTTCTCACTTTTACCATTTATGAACGAAAAGAGCCTAAAGTTATCTTGAACATAAATTTATCTATTATTGTACGAGAACAAGTTATTTTTTTTAAATGAAAAATGTAAACTTGAAAGTTTTCTCTGTTGCCCTCTATGTAAAATTTATTATTATTATTATTATTATTATTTTGCCACTGCTCTCATTGCAAGATGAGAATTGAGAAAAAATTGGGTTCTAGAATGTTAACTTGCAGAACAAACAGGAAAAAAAAAGGGGTTAATATGTAATTTTTATTTTTGGAAGAGCAATGTTGCCTCTAAACTATTCATCGTAGCAATGTTACCCCTAAACTAATCAAATCAAAATAATGGTGCCCTTGCCGTTAAAACATCCATTACTGTAGTTAGTGGGACCTACTTTTTATGAGTTAAGGTACAATTTTACCCCTAAATTATTCTCAAAAGAGTAATATTTCCCTCATCGTTTAAAAATTATAAAAATTAAATAAAAAATTATGATAATATTAAATAAATAATATTAAATGCATATATAAAATAAATATAAGAAAAAAATTTATAGTATGTTAATAAAATATCGTAAATTAAGAATATTATAAATTATAATTTTATAATTTGTTAAATATAAGTGAATCTTGATTAAATTAGATGTGAGTAAAGTCAAAAATATTTATATTTACATCTATAATTATCGATTAGAGTCATCATTAATGACTCAATTTGAACTAAAAAATTATTTTCATGATTGAGTTAAATTGAACAAGAGTTATGCCGCTATTAAGCCACAAACCGAAGTTGAATTAAGAACTGGAGCGGTTTTCAAAAAGCTGGACGGTTTTAAATATAATATTAAAAAAGCTTTAAAAAATTTTTCAAAATAAAAAATTCAAAAATTAAATCCTACTAAAAGTTAATTTTATTTTTAAACAATTCACATGTATTTGAGACCATTTTTTTATAAAAATGTCAACAATTATATGCATAAATGCAGATGTTTTTAAGTCTACTCATATCTAATTTAATCAAGATCCACTTATATTTAATAATTTTTAAAATTTTAGTTTATATTTTTCTTATATTTATTTTATATATACATTTAATATTATTTTTATTCAATATTATTATAATTTTATTTTTATATATACATTTAATATTATTTTTATTCAATATTATTATAATTTTATTTTTATATATACATTTAATATTATTTTATTTAATATTATTATAATTTTATTTTTATTTAATTTTATGATTTTTAACTAGTGAGAGCAACATTGCTCCTTTGATAATAATTTAGGGATAAAATTATACCTTAACTCATGAAAAATAAGTCTCACTAGCTACAATACAAATATTTTAACGATAGGGGTAACATTGTTATGATGAATAATTTAGGGGCAACATTGTTTCTCCGAAAATAGTTTAAGGCCAAAATTCTACCTTAATCCAAAAAAATAAAAAAGTTAACATTAGATGACTACCTCGATAACCCAGGAACTTGAACTACTCATAAAAATTATATTACACTAAGTTTTGTCATTACTGATACTAATCTTTGTCTGCAAAATCCTCTCAACTCATCACGCTACAGACACGAATCTATTTTCAAAACCAACTAGAATTTAAATTGCATACATAGCTTAAAGTTGCGCCTTCATAAATCTAAAGTTTCAAGGAAAAAAGACAGCAAAATTTGTCACAGAATGAGTCGCCAGTTGGCTAATCCCAAGAATTCTTCTTTTAAATACACTCAACAAGAAGTCTTGACCTACAAAGTGGGTGGGATTGCACAACACATATGTAGCTACACTTCAACATAGAAAAATCCTTAATCAAATTTAGTCAACAAAAGATCGATCAAATCCAATAAATCATGAAACTACACCCAAACATGTCAAGGTATATTTGATCACGTGCGAGTACGACATCTTTTTATGTCTCTTGATTTTGATCACTCAATTTTTTTTGGGGGAAAAAATGACACGGTCTTCTAAGGATCTCTACTATCGAAAACTCATTTTCCTTTTGCAGACTCAGCTTTGCCTACCTTCAATGCAAATTTGGGCACAAAGAGCTAAAATAAAGTAAAAAACCTTTTAACACACTGTATTTTATTAACCAAACTGCAAATAACAACATCTGAAAATGGCACCCTAATGAGATTGCCATGCGTCCACATTGGAAACCTTACAAGTGGAATATGATTTATAAGTGTGAGAGACTTTATCATCTAATAAACTAGTTTTTTTAAGATAAGCTCTTTCTTATTGAAAAGGCTAGTGTCACAAAAAAGGCTACTCATGAAGGCTTTTGACTGGCAAGAGGTCAAGTGAAGTGTTGTGGAGTAGAACCACCTAGAATGTTAGCTCCAAAACGTGTGATATTTTCATGGTCCATATTGAAAGCCTCACATGTAGTGTGAGATTTATAAGTGTGAGAGGCTCTCACTTTAAATTTGTGCTCATAACAAATCCACAAGCAGCAAGTTCCATCAATCAGACTTTCTACAATAAAGTAATAAACCTCTCAACACATACTGTATTTTATTAACCATACTGTGTTTTCTCCCTCGTTGGTTGAGCTTGTAGAAAGACACTTCCTTTTCATTAATATCAATACCATCAATATTCAAAATAAAATATAAAATCTATAGGAGTGTACTATTTACAAGCTAAGGATAGTGGATTCATTTCTTGAACTCTGTATAATGCAATCAGAAACCAACCTAGCTACATAAAAGATAAGATGTGTAATGTTTATTCTACCTATAGTAATATTAATCGACAATTATATCTTTTTATTACTTGTTTATTCACTAATATAAGGGACACTCCCCATCTGCAAGTTTTTTATTCTACTTTCCTTTTCATTCCTATTACATTTTACGCGCTAAAGTTTATTACAATAAAAGTCTGTCATCCAAAATATAATTGATGATCGCACAACAAATGCTTGAATGAAAGTCAAAACCATCCATATCTTGCTATTTTTCCATCAGATCAGAAAACAATCCAATTATCTGACAATAAATGAAACTTTGTACTTGAAACTGCAAATTCTTGTATTCGTGCATTCTAAGAAAATCAGAGAGGAAAAGTAGGTTGACCATTCAGACTTTCAGACTCAGACTCAACTTCAAAAATGAACATTAACAGATAAACTCCCTATAGCAGGTACAGGATATCATAGAATATGAAGCTATTGTGATGATGCTACAACAACAACAACAACAACAACAACAAGCCTTATCCTATTAGGTGGAGTCAGTGATATGGATTACATAATGCCATTGTCAAGATAAATGCAATCAATATATGCTACCTTCAAAAAATGTGGCTTCACTCAACCAGTAATCTACAAGCTTAACGAGTAGAGTTTCTGTTGGCAGGAAAAAAAATAATACTCTTCCTTCCTCAAGTTTATATATCAGGTCTCTCTTCAACATAAAGCTACTGAAACATCATTTTCGAAAAATACAGAACAAGAAATATTGCAGATTTCATAAGTTAAGCAAGTATGCACATTAACAATTTTTTTTTTTTTTTTTGGCAAAATGCACATTAACAACTGAGGAATTGTCTTTTTCATTGGTCAGCGACAAATATTTCATGTCAATTTGATGATTTCAAGCTTTCTTAAAGCTTCTGAGGACGCTCCACATGAATGTGGAAACAAAGAAGAGGACGATACCAGTAATGATGGCATACTTGAGACCAAGATTCACCAACAAATTCACCAACAGCCCAGCAAATACGACCCCAACGAAATTTGCAGATACAGCAGACCAAAATGGCATGTCGAGAATGGATGCTATAATGGCTCCAGACCAAGCCCCTGTTCCTGGAAAAGGAACAGCCACAAAAAGCATTAGACCAAGCCATTGAAACTCCTCCACAGGGCCAGCCTTCTCTTTTGCATTCTTAAATAGCAAGTCCAAGAATCGAGATGCAGTAGGGCTCCTTGCAGCGAGGAAAGATGCTAATCTTTTAAGGTAGAGAATAATGAAGGGCACAGGGACCATATTCCTACATTTACAACACAAAGCTCGCTCAATCAACTATCTAGCGGTCACCACTTTTATCAGAAACAAAATTCCTAGATATTCAAGTTAACACAACAAAAAATTGATGTCATAGCTCTTTGATATCCTTTACAAGCACAAACTTACTAGCATGAGGTAGAAAGCATTCTAACTATAAACTGTTCAGGAAACGAAAGGTTCAACCACATTTGCTACCATGGGTATTACAATAAACAGATAAGTCAACCAACCAAATCAATGATCAGGACGTATACTAGAATTTCATCATTTTATGTAATGGCAAAATCGTGAAAACTAACAATTTGATCCCAAAATTCTTAGACCAATATAGCTTTAACCCTGAAAATAGTGAATTTACAAGTTAAACTAATTTGCAATACTTTGTTATCTTCAAGGACTATGACAGAATCACTTGTGCATTCATCAAGACTAAAGCTAAATACAACCAACAATTCAGTCCCAAATTGTTAGTTTACTCTTCAAATAATTATAGAAGAATGATTTCAATGAAAGAAAAGACAAACCCAAGAATGGATAAGACAGTTAAAATCACAGGTTTGAGTCGCATCCAGTAGCCAACAGGAATAGCCCCACGAAGCTCCAGAACAGGAAGCGTTGCGAGGCTAAATACCACAAATTCATCAGGCCAACCCAATTTCCTGAGCGCATTCGCAATCTTTAAGCCAAAGCTGGAGGCTTTAATGGAGTCAGCAGCAGCATTAGCATCTTTAGAAAAAGCAAACCAAGCTAGGGACAGAGAAGCCCAAAAGAGGACCCAGAAAGTGAACTTAATCGACTTATCCTCGGAAAGCAGTAACCTTTCAGGCTCGTCAACATCATTCAAGCATTCATCCAAAGAAGCTCTAACTTTGGTAACTACAGAGTCATTATTAGTCGTAAGACAAGGCTTCAAATGGTGAGAGTCTCGACAAGTGACATAGGATTTTGATTTGAAAGCACATTGTCGAGAATTGACTATGAAGAAGCCGCGATTAGGAGGTAAAATACTGTACTGGGCTTTTGTAAAACGGAGTGTGGGAATTAATGCCAAAGCAGAGACGGCCATCGCAGAATCACACCAATTAGGAGAAAAGGAATAACAAAAAAATGGTTTCACATGCGAACTACGAACAGAGCGGAATCACTTACAGCTCCATGAAAATGAATCAGTGAGGTTGCGAGGATGACCATAGAACGAAAGGGGTTAAGGAAGATCGATATCCTTTTTTTCACATTTCCAAGTTCAACGATGAGATTAATCCAGAAACACCCAGGGCACAACACAGTGGACTGGGGGTTTGAGGGTTGGAAAGGTTCTGGGAGGGTTTTGACTTTTGAAGGTTAGATTATCGTTAGATAGACACGAAGGGCTCCACAAAACAAGAAAACGGCGTAAACAATGCGATGTGATGTCTTCAGACTTTCAGTCATAGAACCAGGACCAAGAGCGTCGGCTTTGCAGAAATTCTTGTATCAGTGACTGAAATCATCCGTTCTCTCCGTTTTATAAAATTATATCGATTGAATCTAATAAAAATTATTGGCCCAAAAAAAAAATTTGAATCTAATAAAAATTGGATTAAAATTCTCTGAATTTTGATGAATTTTTGTGAAGTTTTTTTTAGGAAAGAGAGTAAAAATTTTATATTTTATAAAAAAATAAAATAAATAAAAATATTAATAAAAAAATCACCTAAATTTACCCATTTCAACTTGAGAGGATTTCAATTCATAAAAATTTATTTCATTATTTTTAATAATTTTTTTAGGTTAATAAATAAATAGGATCTTGAATTATTGGTTGAAAGTTATTTAGAATCTTAAACTTTTAAAATATGTAAAATAAATCCTAAATTTTAAAATTTATAGTAAAATAAAACTTAACCATTAATTTTTATAATATCATTACTGTCATGCGGTATTGTTCAGAGTGATTTTTGAACAAGAGTTCATGATCGTATTTTCTCATTAATATTACTTTTTTAATATGAAATCTCTTAAATTTCTTATTTTTTTTCTTACCAATATCATAAATGAGAAGAGAAAGAAAAAAGAAATTAAAATAATTTAAAATGACTAAAAAAAAGGCATGACATGTAATATTAAATGAATTTGACATGCTATATCTCTATTGGAAAGTATGAAAATAATATTTGCACTTGATCTATACAAAAATTTATTTTGATTTTGTTTAACAATTATATATTCTTATTATTCTAATTGATAAGATATTTTTAAATAAAATTTAACATATTAATAAAGTTCGTTAAAAATATTTTATAATTTTATTTTTTCAAAATAAAGATATAAATTTTTAATAATGTCCTTTTATTTAATATTTATTTATGAAAGAACATTAAAAAGAGATAATATAATATGAAAAATAATATTAAAAAAGAATTATTATTAAATCTTTATTATTATCAAGAGTTTTATATTTTGTGAAAGAGAAAGTAAATAAATAACTATGAAAATAAAAATAAAAATAATTATATTCTTTATTTCATGTGCAATACAGATGGATGATTTTAGTGTTTAAAAGTTATAAACAAGTTATTTCATTTAAAAAAAACTTATTTATATAAAATTCTAAAGCACTAATAAGCAAATAGAACCTTGAAAATTGCCCTGGACCATAATTTCTTAAAATATGTAAAATAAATTCTAAAATTTTAAATTTATAGCAAAATAAATCTTGATTGTTAATTTTTTTAATACTGTTACTATTCACGTGGGTACTACAACAGTCAAGGTTGAATTTATGGAAAAATAAATCCTAAACAGTACCTATGTAGACAGTAACGGTGTTAAAAAGTTAACGATCAGGGTTTGTTTTCTTATGAATTTAAAAATTTAGGATTTATTTTGCATATTTTAAGAGTTCAGGGTCTAGAAAAATTTTCGAGCAATAATTCAGGGTCTTATTTGTTCATTAACCCAAATATAAATATTTTGTTTTATTTAAGAATTTATTACACACAGCTATATTCAAATATGAATAATAATTTATTTTATACTATATTATTTTATTTCATAAACTAGCTTAACATTGAATGGAAAGTTCAATAGCCAAAAAGGACATTCAATAGCTTGCTATTTAGTATGAACTAGGGAAATAGTAGAATCCATTAAAATTATTTAACAAGATTTGGAAGGATTATTCCAAGAGATCCATATGATACTTTAAAATTCTACCACTTTGATAAAGAAAAAGATCCAAAATGATGTGATTTTGATTTTTTTGATAAAGAAAAAGATCCAAAATGATGTGATTTTGATTTTAGGATAACCAAAACAAGAATATTACATGAGAGTTGAAGCACCAAAAGAGGAATTAGAACATTTTTAAATAAGTGATCAAAATGATTTTCCTTAGACATGGAAAATTCATCCCTTGAGTCTTATCAATTTGTAAAATCTTCTTTAATTAGTTAAAAGAATGAAATTGATTGATCTTATGACAACAATATATAGCATATGTATCAGCCAACCTCATCTAAGTATATATCCTTATGGTGGGATCACTCGATTGTGTAACTACCTAACTCCTTAGGGTAGACATTCTTAGATAGACCTAATGCATCACATTATTCATGGTTCATTCAATAAAATCACACCAATTCAATCAAATAAAATTTTATGTATCATTATTTTTAATGACTTTATTATTATAATGAAATACCTATTTAAGTGCTTTCATTTTCTCTATCTACTATTATTAATGTTAGAATTAATTTATATTAAATGCCATTTGAATGTCATGTTTTCATTGGATGAATCAAAGATGACATGATACCTTAGGTTTATCTAAAATTTTCACCCCTTTAGGGTCTTATGAAGACCATAGATAATCGATGTTGTCATGTCTTGTGAAATGTGATACTTTTGAAAGAAGCCAAAATGATAGCTTCTAGCAAGTTCCCACAATAGTTAGGACAATCACAAGTTTCATTAGTCACTTTTAGAATTCCTTGATGAGTTTTGGTTGATGGATTAGGTGGTACTAGTCTCGTAATGTACCTTTAGATGCTAAACCCTAAATGAAGTGACCCATTATAATTCCCTTTGTTTGGGCTAAAATTGAAATGACACCTCCTCCATAGGACACAATGGCTATAGTAGGAATTAGGCTATGGCAATGAAGTGTTAGGCTTAATAAGTGATTCAATAGGCATAAGGTCAATCCACATCATGGTAAATGAATTGACTGAGTAAGCATGAGTCTTTGAATCCCTCAAGACTCGAAACCACCAAAGACCATTACCTCACATGAAACTATGATCTCAATAGACCTTGAATCTCATAGGATTGTGACCTTTGTCCATGGATATTTTGAAACTATGTGATGATAGTTACAAACAGTTAACGACGGCCTGCACAGCTTATAAATATGAGAACAGTAGTAAGGAATGGCATCAAGATCACTTAGAAACAATATGAAACTATCACAAACTTTGTACTAGTCTTTATCTTTAGTTTAGCTTCATATTTTTCTCATTATAATTTTGTGCTCACACATACCAATTAATTAGACTTGATCCTTTCTATCTCAACTTGCATCCCTACATATAGGTGAATTAAGGTAAGGAAGCTTGGGAATCTCATTTATTTGAAATTTAGCGTTTTTAGCACGCCTGGTATTTTGATTGGTTTGGTTGATTCATTTCTCGAACATAGAGAATCTTTTGGCATGCCTGGTGGGACTCTGTGTGTTAAGATGCTTAGACTAAGAAGAGAAAAGAAGGACAAGCAATTACCTGGTTCCAATGAGATAAAGGATGACACAGCTAGTATAAAGTAGGAAATCCAAGTTGAAGGGCCTTAAAGACCCATCATTAGAACACTATATGGCACCCGAAATAAGGACCTAGTTGATGTAACAGTTGCAACCATGAAAGAGACCTAGCAAGCCCTAGCAACAAGGTGAGGCTACGTAGGCACATGGAGCATATGCTATCTAGTGGTAACGCTAGTTAGACATTAGAACTTAATGCAAAATCAATTCACGATCCTTTGATTGTGTCATTTTGTCCAATCTTAAAGGTATTAAAGTGGATTCTAGATTGGATGGATAAGCAAGTAGAAAAAAGTCAAAGGTTTTATGCCTTGACTTTAGAAACAACAGAAAAACGTGAAAAAGAATGCCAACAGATAATGATGCAAGCTATCCATGAAGGCATTTGAAATATAGTTGCCTTATTAAGAGGAAGACATAATGAAGCAGGCTTTAGTCATTATCCTTTTAAGGGCAACTTACTGGAGGCCCTCAAAGCCTCACATCAATAAGGATCCCCTTAACATAAATAAATTCATTCACACTAACCCTTACAAAAATCCTCTCTATTATGTCTAGGAAAATTTGACAAGTAGCCCAAGGGAATGGCATTCACCTCATAACGCTTAAACGATCCTCCTCCCAGAGACATGATGCTCAATACGGATAGTCTCAAAGAAGTGATATAGGAAATATATGGACCTAGACTAAACCTATTTGGTGGCCGGTATTCACTAAGCTATATCCATATCACATAAATTATGAGCATCCCTACCCTAAAGGTTACCATTCTCTAACTCACACTATTTGTAAGAGATGGGCACCAGTCAACTTTAGAACATATTAACTATTTCACCATACAATGTGGTGAGATAGCCAATTATGACAATTTTAGTAATATGAAGCTCAGACTATTTCCTAACTCCCTCACTAGCCATGCTTTATCTTGGTATACTATACTTCCATAAAACTTAGTGCTTACCTAGGAAAAGATGGAACATAAATTCCACATATAGTTTTATAGAACTCAACCTTAAGTAAGCATTGCCTAGCTATGTAAGTTATCCCAATGAGCTGGGAGTCTGTAGATCAGTTTCTATTAAGGTTTAAGAAGCTTCATAGCCAATGTAATGTGCCATTGCTAGAGATAAAGTTCATAAAGTTAGCACAAAGTGGGCTTGACATAAAGCTGTACAAGAATTCCAAGGAATGACATTCAAGGATTTTTATGAACTCTCAACTAAGATGTATGGATATGAAGATCTATTGTAGGAAGAGCTTTATCACAAATAGACTTCAATAAACACCTACTTTAGCAAGATAGATATTGTGGTGATTGAACACAAAACCACAAGAAATATCACTTATCCTACCCTAAAATGGAAGCCACACCTGAAGGCCCTAAGAGACCAAATTTAGTATAATATACACCACTAAGATAGAGGAGATATTTGATTTCTTGCTAAAGGAATATTTCCTTGCTAGAAGATCACAGAATACCATCTCAGGAAGAGAGAAAGGGAAAGAATATTGCAAGTATTACTACTCATGGAGTCATTCTACTAGTAATTATTGGGCATCTAAAAATGTGCTATAAGACATGCTCAACAAGGGGGTGTTAAAATTCCTAAAGAAGGAAGAGACCATAACAATGGACAATGACCATTTCCCTCCATTTGCAACAAT